TTTTATAATGAGAACGCCACCTGTGCAGGTTTTCCAATGAGGACAGGGTCCCTTCCTGTTTTACCTTATTTTGTAATTTCCTAAGCAAAGATCTTAGATTCCTACAGTCTTTGTCGAACCAGGCCCTCGAGTTGTTTTGTTTTTTGGGAGGGTTGGAATTCGTGAGTAGTGGGAAGAGCGACTCTGAGACCTGCTGAAATGTTGAAAAGGGGTCAGAAATAGATGAAATACACTGGTCTCTCAAGGCCAGTAAGTCTGATGAATGCAGGTGTAATTTGATTTTAGATTCCAGGTCGCTGTTCCATTTACGCCTACGAAGGGCCAGAGTTGGAGGTGGGTCTGCACAGTGATTGCGGTATTGCGGATCCTCCACACCACGGGGAATTAGTGAAATTGATATAGGAAGATGATCACTCTCAATTCTATTGAAAGTCCTGAAGCCCTGTGACCTCTCCAAGAGTTTTGGGAGACCAGGATATAATCAATAACGCTCGCACCTCTAGGTCCAAGAAAAGAAAAGAAACCCCCTGACCTGTCCATATGGGTACCATGCAAATTATACAAATTATGTTTGAAGGCAGTCTCCATTAATGTAATGCCTGCCTTATTCAAGACCTTATCGTCTGAGGACCAGGGAATAAACCAATCTGCCTCTGGCAGGAACTGAGATTTAGAGCAGTACGTATTAATGTCATTTCCTATCCTGGCGTTGAAATCACCTGCCAGCAGGATATCCATGCCAGGGAGTTCTAGTTCAGCCTTCTCCAAACATAGCTCTAAATCTTCCCAGAATTGTGACGACTGGGGAGGGGTGCCTATGGGAGGGATATATATATTAAAGCAAAGGAAATCTCCTCCTTCGCTGCTAGAAATAAGTAAGATTTGTAAATTGTTACTCTTCACCCACTGCTGTTGCCGGGCCTTGCATTTTAGCTTGGTAGAGGCAAAAGTGACTAAACCACCACTAGGTCGGCCTCGGGATTTTGATTTTATCGCAGGGGTAGCAAAGGCTTCGTATCCCTGTAAAGAGGGGACATGGAGATCTAGACACCATGTCTCCTGTAGACATAAAATCTGAAATTTTGTAAGGAAATCCAGAAGGTCGACGTCACCCTGCTTAGATAGCCATCCCGCCACATTCCAGGATAGAATGTGGAAATAGGGTGATGGTGGAAATAGTGGCAGTCAATCTCTTTTCCGATGGTTTGAGGCTCCTGAGCTGGGCTCCTCCTCTATCTGCCCTGCTTGGTGGTTCCGGGTTTGAGGTCGCTGGTCCCTAGATAGGTGTGATAGCTTTAACTGGGGGGCCAATAGGTTGATTTGGCCCAGAGGATCTTCGATGACACCGTTACAAGGTTAAGCACTTTGCTTCAGGATGAGAACAGAAATTGTGCTCCGGTGGCGCGGCAGCAGCAGGAGGCCCCATTAGCTAAAGTGGTGCTTCAGGTTAAGAACAGTTTCAGGTTAACTACGGACCCCCGGAACGAATTAAGTACTTAACCTGAGGTACCACTGTACCTGCACATCAAGTAGTGACAGATGACCTCAGCAAATAAGCCATTCTATGCACTAGGGAGAGTCGATGGACTTCTCTCCTGTAATCTTGTTCACCTAGAGAAATACTGTTGGGTTTTTTGCAAGGGGTGGGGTGGTGGAGTTGCTTGCAAAAGTTCCCATTTGTCATTCAGTTGGGAGTAGATCTAGCTGGCTAGAACTGTGTGTGCACAGCAGCACCCGAGTTACTTGGGAAATGAAAGGCTCCACCGTTAAGCGTGAGATTTTAGCTCTGAAAATCTGCCCCCTTTAAGACATTGCCTTCCACCTCTGACTCTTGGAAGCAGAAAATGAGTGACAGCCAAGGGTTATAATTCTATAATTGCCTCTGGCTGCATCAAACAATTCAGTCCTTGGCACTGTCTGGGAAAGGAAATCTGAGGTAGATGGGCCATTGGTCTGAATTACCATGGCAGGTCCCCTTCGCTAATTAAATGATTAAGAGGCTTCCAGCTCCAGATGAGCCTTGCATTTTCAGCACAGTGTGGAATGAGGCATAGAACTGTAGAATAAGAAAGAACCTCTTGGATTTAGGTGCAGGACAAAATAAGGAAGACTGCAGTTGTAGCCATGGCTCTGCCTTCCACTTCGTTTGTTTTACTGAAAAGATTGTTGCGTTCAAAGGCACATGTAGAGGCTAATTAGAGTTGCGGGTAAAATAAGGAGAGCTGCAAGCTTTAATTCTCAGATTATTGACTTAATATGGCCTTTAAGTCAAGAGTTTTTTGAGTGTAGGGCTGACTTGCATTCATAGGTGACCCCATGAACAGCGCTTTCCCATTGCTGCTGCAGTATTGTCCCTCCATTTATAGGTGGAAAATTGTTTTTCTGGGATCGAGTGCCTTTTTTAAGAAAGTTCAGGGTTAGAGCAGGGTGTGAGCCCTGTGCTTCTACACAAAAACGCAACAATATCTTATTCACTGGCCCTCTTCAACCAAAATGCTTTTTTTTAAAAAAAAAATGAAGGGTATGACAAGAATTCCTCACCAGTGTGTAGTCTGTTCAAGGCACAGCCATGAATCAATCTCATGGGCCAGTGGACTGTGGAAATTTGCAGTGGTTTATGTTTAGGTGACAGTCTGTGCACCTTGTGATGGGATGCCTGACTTAATACTTCGGAGAGTCACAAGTTGACTTTCTAGCTTTCTTTTAATTAAATGTCAAGACCTGAGCTCTGAAGATCAAAATGATCGTTCCTTTCTTTCAACTTCAGAAAGCAGGACTGCAGGGGCCCCCTCCTGAGGGGCTGGCACTCCGTTTTCATCTAAATGTTATGGCTTCCATCATCAGCTTTGAAGGGTGCAGCAAAACCAGCAGTTTGCGGGGAGGGCGGTGTCGTTGGGGTGCAAAGAGGAAAAACGCTCCGTCATTAAGCAGCTTGTTTTGAGGAAGGAATTTTGCAGTGACGAGCAAATAAAATGTAAGAGGCTTACAACAACTGATATTATTGACACAGAACCGTAGAATCATAGAGCTGGGCGTTCTTTTTATTTGCAAAGGGAGACAAAGTTCAAGGGGGGGGAGAGAGACCATTTTTTATTCTATCGGTCAGATTTTATTCTAAGACGATAATTTTCTAGTGTCTCTCTGTATGAGAGAGAATCACACAGTTGCGCATTCTGTAAACAGGAAAGACGTTCGCATCCAAGGGGCCAACTTCCGAACTTAATTTTCACGTTCCTTACAAACAACAACGTGTGCAGGAGGCGCCAAGCAGAACTAAGGTCGAAGCTTGTATGTGTAACTGATATCTCGGGCTGTTTTCCTTCTCTCCATGACTCCTGACTCTTAAAACAATAAAATAAAGATCATAAGCATCTGTTGCTATGGAAACCCAGCAGCCAGACCGGCGGAAGGCTTGGGAGTGCGCGCCCTTTTTCTCTCCAAGTAACCTCGTTAGCTGCCCATCGCAGGACCAGTCGCGCCCCCAGTGCCCTGCGCGTCCCCGGCTTCATTAGCCCCCAGAGACCATCCGTTAAGTACTGGGTGCCCTGCTTGCTGCTGCCCAAAGCCAGAGTCTCTCTCCTCAGCGGCTGAACTGCAGCCGCGCAGGAAAAGAGGGCAGAGCCTCTTAATCTGTTTTACCCGCCGCTGCTACCAGCCAGCACCCTCGCGGGTCCCAGTATCCCCAGCGGCGGGCTCTGGGCTGGAGGTTCCTCCGTCTCGCATTTTGTTTATTCCAGAGGATTACTCCTGGAGAAACAGTTTGCTTGTGTTTCCACAGAGGGGCGCTGAAGCACGTTTTAATGCAGCAAAATGAATTAAGAGCGAAATATTGCGAGACACTTTGGTTGATTAAACAAGCGAGTTGTGGGGAGGAGGAAGCGGGGGGGGGGGGAGAGAAGAGAGGAAAATTGGGGGACGAGAGGATGAGGAGGAAAGCCGCTCTGGAAAATCCCTGATGCCCCAAGGACCGGTTTCGCGTCTTGGAGGGAAGGGACCCGGTTAATTCCCTCTTGCCAGAGATCAAAAGACAGGCATTAGACACCGAAACGAAGCTGCGGGCGTTGGGTTGTGGCTCTGCCTCCCCTCCTCTGTGTCGTCTTTTAAGCCCCCCGACCCACCCCCTTCAAGCCCTGCTTGGCCAGCGACTCCCCACCTTACCCCCTCGCTTCTGGTTCCCTTTTCAAGTTCTCCAAGGGGAAGGAGACTCAAGCTCCCCTCCCCAGGAAAGCCTTAGAGAGAAAGCAGCAGCAGCAGCAGCAGCAGCGATCTCCTCCCTCCTTGGTGCGCGCCTCGGATTCCTCTTCCTTCTCCAGGGCGAGCAGCGTGCTCGCAAGGAGGTCTCTCCCCTCCTGGTGTTTCCATCGCCCCCCGCCCGGCCCCTGATCGCGCGCACAACACCCTCGCCTCCCCTCCCCACCCGCCGCCACTTTCGCCTCTCGGACGCGGCCGGCATGAGACCTCGCAGGCGGCTGCTCCGTCGCCTCCGGGCGAGCCAGCCAAGCCCCCTTTCCCTCCACACCCCCGTCTAATTCCGCTCCGGCTCCGCCATCTGGGGACATCTTTTTTTCCTTCTCTCTCTCTCTCTCTCCGTTTTAGAGGAGGGGGTGTGAAAGCAGGATCTCTTCCGGATTGTACAGCGTTCCTCAAGCGGGGGCTCCCCGGCGCGTGTATATGTGTGTTTTGGGTTATTCCATCAACTCTTCTCTCACCCCCCACCCACCCACCCCGCCTGGGTTTTCTCCTAATGCTGTTGAAGGAAGAGGGAGCGCGAGGGAGGGAGCGCGCGCTTCGCCAGCTCCACTGATCTGTTATTGAGGAGGGCTTGACTCGACGTAGTAGAAGGCGATCCGAGGCTAGGGGGAAAGAGAGCGAGGCGGCGCAGGCTCCAAATCTGCCGATTACAAACAGCCTCTCCTTATATGTATGGATAGTAATAATAGTAATTAATTAAAGAGAGGGAGTGAGAGAATACCTCCCCCTCTCCGTCCTGGATTGACTGAATGGCTTCCTTGTACCAGAGATTCGGCGGGAAGATCAACACCTCCAGATCCTTCCCGGTGACTCCCGAGGCGAGTCACCTGCTGGGTCCCCAATGCGCCGAAGAGGACAGTTCCGCGGCGGCGGCGGCGGCGGCGGCCAACGCAGCCGGCGGAGAAGGGAAAGCGTCGCGTCCATTGCAACAAGACAACCCCCGACCCCGCTTCCAATACCAAGCGAGGAGGAGTGACTGCGAGGAAGAAGATGTAAGCCAGCCCCTGCCTACCTGGGTTGGGTGGCGCTCGGTGGATGCGGGTTCGGGGTTGCTGCTGCTGCTGCTGCTCCCCATCCTTTTCCTTTTTTGGAATGGTGTCCTATTTTCCTTTTGTCTGGGTCGCGTTGTGATGCCTGCTCCCCCCCCCCAACCCGGCTGTTTTGTTTTGGCTCATCCCCTCCATATGGGATTCTAGCCACGGAGGTGATGTGCGCGCAGCCTCTGGGGCTGCCCGAGTGGCCGTGCGCGGGGGGCGCGTTCCAGCACCTGCCACAAGTAGCGCGGGAGCTCGTGGGTCTTTAGGAGGGGAGTCCTTAGTGGCCTCGATGGACACGTGTGTGTGTGTGTGTGTGTGTGTGTGTGAGAGAGAGAGAGAGAGAGAGAGATCTTTCCCTGTCTTCTGAACCTACTTTCTGCTGCCAGCCACCACTCTTCCGCTTCTTTTGTCTAAAAAAATAAGAAACCCTGTGGGTTTTAATTACGTTGTGCATCTCAGAAAGGGAATTCCGCTCTCCCTTTCGAGAGTGAAGATATGGTGGAGACACATCCCCCCCATTGATCTGAATTGGCCATAAACTTCCGGGGGGGGGGGAGGCAGTCCCACTGAACTTAGCAGCAGCACAGAGTCAAAATGCAGACGGCTCGGGCTGTTTCCTACCAAACTGCCCTGACTCTTGTAGGTTGTTAGGAAATTCTTCAGTTCTTCCGGTGATAACTTTTTCTCGCCCCTTGTCGAAGCCTCCAGCTTCTCTTCCCCCGCCCTTTGCTGCTTTAAAACTGCCAAGAAACAAAGCAGGCAACTGGAAGGCTATATTAAGCTCCAAGGAGGTGCTGAAGTGTAAATTGGAGCAAACACGTTTCCCTTCCTCTTCCTCTCTCTCTCTCCCCACCCTCCGCCCCACCATCCCCTCTTTCCTGCTGATGGGAGCAGAGATTTCAAAGAGTTTGTATTTGCATATTGCCTTAGTAACGAGTGACTCATCCAGGGTACTTGCTTGACTGCTTGGGGTTGATGATGGCGCGAACGGGGAGGGGGGAAAAAGTTAAAATCCTCTTGGATTGATTTGGAAGAAGAGAATTAGACAGGTTGTGTACCATCGCCACCGTTAGCCTGTAGTGATGCCCTTATTATTAGGTTTCCTATTCAGATGCAGCTCCGTGATAGTGTGTGTGTGTGTTTGTGCATGTTAAATAAATGTGTAACTTAAAAGTTTTTTCGGGGGTGGGCGGCGGCGCACCATAATGGCTCTTCGCGTCTGAGGTTGTTTCGCTCCATCCGCGAAGAATACGTATTTCTCAGCATTGTTTCATCTGAAGTTTCTATTAAAGCTGCAGCTGTGCTCAGCCTTTAATTATAGAAGTGACTAGTAATTATCACAAACTGGTGATTGCCTGGAACTTGGTGGGGGCAGGAGAAAAACAATTCCTTTCGGCTTCACTCACTTAAGATCCCCGTGGAGAGAGAGATTGCCAAGGAAAGTCGTAGGATTTTCTTTTGTGCCTGTTTATTTCCTGTTTTGTGGGAGGTAGCGCGAGGGATGGGCTTCTCTTTTCCCCTCCTCCCAGCAAGGAGATAAGCACAAAATTCATGGAAAGAGTCCACAGAGGAGGAGGGTCTGTTTCCTAAGAACCAGTAGATGTAAAAGGGGAGTTAACTTCCACTACTTTAAAAAAAGGATCCTAAAGCTAAATCCTATTTGGTATCACTGTAATATTTAGTGGAGGGTAAAGAAAGATCTAAATTTAATTGACTCGGAATCCTAGGGGGTTATCCTTTTGAAACAAAACGATGAAAATGTTTTTGTGTTTGTCTGACGGCTGTCCATCCTATCTCAGGCTTTAACCACTAGATGGCGGCATGATAAAGCAAAGAAATGGCTTTTTTAAAAGGAAAGAAAGGAAAGGTATATCCCTGCACTGACTGTTTCTCCCTGTTTCTCTCTCTCTCTGTAATATTTTGCTTGAAGCTTATGTTTTTTCCACCCCAGCCCCAGTTCTGAATATGACAGATGTCTGGAGCTGTCTCTGATAATCAAAAACTGTAGCACAAATAGTCGATTTATCGTGTGCATGACATTTTTGTTGACACTACTTATCCTCCCAAGTTGCTTCATTAAGGGTGAGATTTTGAACACATTTACTAGTGAGTAAGACCTGTTGAGCAGGCACACACACACTTCTCACCTGGTCCATTCCTTCCATTTCCTAATAGTCTACTGAACTGTAGAAAGAAAAGGAATCAGAGCATGAAACACAATTTCCCTGAAGGCTTAAAAACAATATGGTGGGAATTAATTTTAAGCTGTATTTTAAGCCGTATTTTCATTAACTGTTTGTTTGTTTGTTTGTTTGTTGTTGTTGTTTTTTCTATTACATTTTATTGTAATTTATATTTGGTGTTAGCCGCCCTGAGTCTGGCCCTGGCTGGGGAGGGCTGGGTATGAATAAAATTTTATTATTCTTATTCTTATTTATTAATGAGAATATGCACCCTCCTTTACTCCTATAGTCACAGATATAACAACTGTATACTAGACAGTTAGCTGCTTCTGTCTGGTTTTACCCTAGTCGCTGTTTCAGCTCTTCCCCAAAGTTAACAAATTCTAGGATCTGGGAGACAAAAGCAGACCTACATGTCTTCAGAATATGTTGCATTAACATTCAAATTGTGGGTAGAGGGGTATAGAAAGTGTAGAGCCAGGCTTTTGAAAATAGAACACTCCAACATATAAGCTTATAAGAAGTTTAGATAAAGTGGGAGCTATTTAGAGTTACAACATGTATTAATCTGGCAGGGTTAGGATGAAGTCATTTTATTTTTTAAAGAGCTGTTTAAGTGTTCAAGTGCTAAGTGACAGCAATGTGGAAGTCCTGTGTTTTTCTTCCTGTCTCCAATCATTCTGAAAAGTGCTTCTCTTGGGGAGCTGTCTCAGGTACTGAAACCTTTCCAGCTCTACCACTGGGAGATCTTGCTTGCTGGCATACTTTGCATTGGGTCATTTAAAGGGAACTGGCGGCTTTATTGGCCTTCAGTGGCTTGCTGTCAGCTAGTGAAGAGTGTTCAGCTTATGAGCCAAGGCAGGATTTCTGACCTTGGCAACTGGTAAAAAATGGCAAAGAACAGAAATCAAAGTTCTTCCTTGCAAAAGCAGTGCTCAGAATAGTGATGCTAGCAAGGACTTTTAAACGTAGATTTAATGTAAATTAGTGTCAATTTTAACATTAAGAGGGAAGGAAAGGTGATGTGCAACAATAAAAGCAGCTAAATGAGGTGCAGAGATCTGTGATTTTGGTAGGTTTCTACAGAATCTGCTTTGCGCAGTAGCTGGAAATCCTGGCTGCTGAAAATCCTGCTAAATCCTGCTAATATTGTATGCAATGATGCTTGATAACTGGCTGCTCTGTTGGTGATTGCATTATGAACCCCTTTCTAGAAGGATTAGACTTCTAATATAAATTTCATATTAAAGGCTAAAATTGGGTAAGGGAGCTCTTGTTTTTAATGAGAGCATTCCCATAAAAGTGGTTGAGCATTTGTCACACAGGTTCAGCCCAATTAAAATATATTGAGACTGATATTTAACTTTGAATATACAGGTTCTACTTCATATAAGGGAACACCTTAAGAGTACATTGTTCCACAAAATGCCCTGTTCACTAGCTCAGTATTTGTTCAATTCATTGAGTTTTTTAAAAAGAGCCCCCCCCACAATAATTAAGACATTTAAAAATGAAACACATCTGCAATAAGTATTGGGTTAGGATGCCTAGAGCAGGCATGACCAAACTCAGCCCTCCAGCTGTTTTGGGACTACAGTTCCCATCATCCATGACCACTGGTCCTGTTAGCTAGGGATGATGGGAGTTGTAGTCCCAAAACAGCTGGAGGGCCACGTTTGGCCATGCCTGGCCTAGAGCATGGTCCCTTCTTTGTTTTGTTACACCAGAGGTATGTGAACCACTGGCTCATGCCCTGGGGACATCCCCATCCAGCATGCAGCATCTCCTCCTTGTAGCAGCTACACATTATTTTTTTGATTGTAATTCCATTATATGTTGGCATAAAAAGTACCCCGAACAGTGAGAGAGAGACATGGGAACCCATTTATTTATTTTATTTATATTCCACCTTTTTCTCCAGTGATCTCAAGGTGACATACATGATTGCCCCACTTCTTATTTAATCCCTGTGAGGTCGGTTAGGCTGAGAGGCGGTGACTGGCCCAAGGTCACCCAATGAGTTTCATGGCTGAGGGGGGATTTGAAACCTGGTCCACCAGATCCCAGTCTAGCCCTCTAACCACTACAACACATTGTCTTGTTCATCATTTGTGCCCTGCTATCTAGCCTTTCTCACATGGCGCACCTGGAGAGCAAGTTGGCATAACTGTTGTGAGTGTAAGCTAGGACGTTCCCAGTTATTTTATTTTATTCTGTTTTTTATTTGTGCTCTCTTTCCTTCTGTGGTGTAGTGGTTAAGAGTGGTGGATCGTAATCTGGTGAACCGGGTTCGATTCCCCGCTCCTCCACATGCAGCTGCTGGGTGACCTTGGGCTAGTCACACTTCTTTGAAGTCTCTCAGCCTCACAGAGTGTTTGTTGTGGGAGAGGAAGGGAAAGGAGGTTGTTAGCTGCTTTGAGACTACTTAGGGTAGTGATAAAGTGGGATATCAAATCCAAACTCCTCATCCTCTTCTTCTTCTTCTTCTTCTTCTTCTTCTTCTTCTTCTTCGCACTCCAATGAGTTGTACATGACTATCCTCCTTTATCTTCACAGCCACCTTGTTATGTTACTCCCACTCCCCAATGTTTATCCTCATAACTAATCTGTGAAGTAGGTTAGGTTGAGAGGGAGTGACTGGCTGAAGGCGAGCTTCATAGCTGATTGGAGGCTTGAACTCATCTACCCACCCCTGCTCATTCATAGTCTGCACCACAGTGGCTTGTAAGAATTATTATTTTTTAAAAAAATTGCTAGCTTTGCAAGGAAGCTTATAATAGTAGCTAAAACAGATTCAATGGTGGGCAAAAAAGAGAGGAAAAAATGAAGCAGCACCCGGACTGAAAAATAAACCAGCTGTCTGACCACAACAAAGGCCAGATGTTAGAGATTTGTTTTGCACTCTTCTTTCTCCCCCACGGAAAATTGATAAGAGAAAATAATGCAGCATCACAGGCGTTCATTTCACAGTCCAGGAGAGGTAATTGATGTAAAGGCTCAAGCAGTTCTTACTTTGTGAGAGGCTGGTGTCTGAAGTATGGCCTGCAAAGGTGATAGCCGCCGGCATGAGAGAAAGGAAAAAGAAAGGTGCACCTTTGTGATATGCGAAACCTAGGCTCACTAGGCAGCTGTTAGGCAAAGCCATCATTATCTCAGCTATGGTCTTATCTCCTTCTCCCCCCCCCCCCACCTGAGAGAATAATGCTAGTCTATTTGACAACATTGTTGTAAGGATACCAATAACAAACTTAGTTGGTCTCTAAGGTGCTACTGGAAGGATTTTTTTTTTTTTTATTGAGGTAATGCTTGTGATTCTAAAATTCTAAAAAGTTATATAAATGGTAAGCAGTATGAAGCTTTGTATGGCACGACACGTTCACTTCAAAACTTGGGAGACTGCAAATACACATACTGTATGTGCAAAACATTCTCCCTTAGTTGCAGACCTGCCTGCCCAGATTAATTGATATGGATATGATATAGTATCTGGTGAAGAAATGTGAAGTAACTGCAGAACAGTGTAACAGGAGAACATTAATTTATAATTTTGGCAGCACACTCATACTTTTTCCTTTTGAGATTAATGTTTTCCATATTGGAATATAGTCTAATGGTTTTCTCGATATTGGCTTTGAACATTTCCCCCCCGCCCCCCATGAAACAGAGCTTTTTTCTGTTGCTTTCCCCAGCTTACTTTTCTTTGTGGTCAGGGTGATTAATGAGCTTAATTTCTGCAGGCAACTGCCAAAGGTGCTGAGTAAGATGTACATGCTGATTGTGTATAACCCTGTTACTTTTAATTACTGGGATGATAATAATGCATTAATCAAGTGCACGAGAAATTCAGCACTTCTCTCTAATGCAAAATATTGATTAATTTCATAAAACATTGAGAATAAAAGTGATAATCACAGTAATCCTTTAAAATTAAATTCACAATGATAAGTTATTTCTGTTAAAGGGGATTGAATGTCAGAGATCAGGTCTATAAAGTTAGCCAAATACTTCAGCCTTCTCTTATTCATCATTTGGTATAATCTGCTCTTTTACTGCAGTGGGGATTTTCCCTGAGGAAAATATGGTCCCAAAATACAGTATTTTTGTGGCTTCTTCTAAAACTGGGGGACTGCTGATTGGCATAGGGCCACAGAAGATAAGAAGCTGATGATGACCTGGATAAGATTGGCCTTCATTTCTGCACTCTTTTAGGGCCAGTTGGATGGGATATTATGTGTATCTTTGCATTGAACATATAGGTTTTTTCTTCTAAAAATGCTAATACCATCAACTGCATGTATGTATTTATAAATATTGGGATCCTGGCCAGTATGGAGTGGAAATTTAACCTCCTCCTCTCAAAGCAAGTGGGATTTCCCATGGGACTGTAGCAGGAGTGGAAATGTTTACATCCCTGCTAGGCTTGCTGGCTGAACAGGAATTATAAACTTCCCCAGCAGATGCTCCTTATATTGCACCACACCTGTGAATCTGACGCTAGTTACATTTAATGTATGGTAATGTCCTGTCCAGTTTGGCCCTTACCTTTGCATACATAGTTGGCAATAGCTATCAAAAGCTATAATAATGTGAAACTAAGTAGCCACTCTAATAGCGCTTCCGCTCCTTCTAATAATGAACTCGGATGCCAAGTGCTAATGAGCTTGGAGTTAATTCAGTATTGCATAACAGTGTATGATAACACGAAGCCATCTGGCCCCAAACGGCTAGTGAGAATACAGCACATGGAATGAGGTCCCATTCCAAGATGCCACTGGCTACCAGTTGATGAAAACTACTGATGTGGGAAAGGTCATGCTCTGCATGTAGAAGATTCCAGGTTCAATCACTGTTGTGTCTAGGGAGCTCTGCTGAAACCCCTGGGGACAGCGGTGGACTTTGGGCTTTCAAATTCCAGTGGCATCCTGTGTAGCGCTAAAATTCAGCCCCCCCCCCTTTGCTCCGTTCTACAGCATTGTTGTGGCTCCCACTGCAACACGGCACCCGGTGCAGCCAAACCAGTCATGCTATCCTAAAACTGCCTCTGCTGGGAAACCACAGATAGTCACTGTCAGAAATCCTGAGCCAGATGGGCCAGCGGTCTTCATTGGTACAAGATACCTTCCTAGGTTCCTAAATGTAATGGAGATTAAATTTCACTAAGGAAAGTGGGGCCACTTTTGCTAAGCGCTGATTATAACCGATTGGCAGAACACTTCTGCTTGGGCTGCATTTCCATATATTTGTTCCCTGTTTAGCAAGACCATCCCGGGACCTTTTGCCACAGTAGCCAAAATGTCCTCCATGCCACCACCCACAGATCCAGTAGCAGTGAGGGCAACAGCTCTGTGTCAAAGGTGTGGTCAGCCCCAGCAGGGCTGGCAGTGGCGCAGTGGCAAGGGAAGGGTTTAGATCTGCCACCTGAGCCAAATGGCTTCACCTCGCATCATGCACAAGTTGTCCCTTTAACTGTGGATATTTTACACTCGCTTATAAAAGCGGTTTCTTGCTTTGAGGCTTAAAGAGATGGGCAGGTTATGAATCAAAGAAATAGCTGCCAATAGCTCAGGCTGTTGATTGGGGGTGTTTTAAAGCAGACTTTAAAGTCAAAGTTGTGTAGACTGTGTAGGTCCTAAAAATGTGTAATGTGAAACAATTATGATGCCAAGAGAAAAAATATTGCTCGCTGCTTTGGAGTTAAGCATTGTTCTACAGTGCTGGGTTTTATCGGGTTCCATACAAGAGACTGCAGTGCCCAGCAGATCCTCTTGCACATAGCCACCTCCCCTCCCAGTGTCAGCAGAGAGTCAGGTGGCCGTGTGGAGAACCAAAGACCCTGCAGAGTGAAAGAGCCCTGACGCAACAACCAGCCAGGAGAGGAAGCAAGCCAGTTCTAGAACTGCATGGGTCTGAACCTGTGTAGTGCTCAGGCAGTGGCCAATTCCTCTCCTCTTCCATTCAGCTGCACTACAGTGGCAAGAAAATGTAAGTTATATATGATGGTGATTTAGAGGCCATTAGTGGGTTCTCTAGTGGGGCATATGCCCTGGTAGGCAACTTTGCTACTCCCTAACCCCAGGCATGATTTTTTTTTTTTTAAAGTTTTGGCCTGGACATTTGAGCAACCTAAGTAGGTCATTCATTTTCTGAACTATTTATTTTTTTTTAAAGCGTTTTGAAGCAAGAACCTGATCAACACTTACTATAGTGGTCTGAAAGCTAGGATAACTGGTTTAATATCATAACCGAATTATGCCTGGCATTGTGGAAGCCCCATTGTGCTTAATGTACTTAAGCTTTCAAGTAAAGGTATATAAGATTGAAGTCACTGGTATCACTTCTGCTTCCAAGGCCCTCTGAATAGCTTCCTTTTCCTTCATGCAGCCTCTTTCTGTGCAAAAAAGTATAGCCTGCACTTTACTTTCCAACTGTGTTCTTATCCGATCTTCATTTAACTTCCTTCACTGCCCTCTGTTTCAGCTTAAAATCATCCTCACCTTGCCTCCTCCAGCTTTATTTTGACCCTGGAATCTGCCCTCTTCTGCCTGATTAGCCCATATATGGTGCTCAGGTTAACTAGCCTTCTAGGACAACATACTGTAATGTTACTGACTTCACCAATAATCTGTCTCACCAGACATTCCTCTCTGTAGTGGTAAAACTCAGTGGC